GGGTGAAATCATCCGAAAATGAAGTGAAGTGAAGTGAGGTGAAGTGGAGGATGTGAAGGGTACTTAAGTGTAGTGAAGTGGAATGAAGTGGTGAAATGTGGGCGCATCAGTACACGACATTATGTATTCTATCGCCACTACTGTTTAGTGCATAGCATACTTATTTTTTATTAATATTAATTTATTTAATTGTAGTTGTAATTGTTTTCCTTGTAGTGGTAAATCGTATTCGCATTGTACTCATTTCGTGTAGTGTGCCCTTTATTGCTTTTGTACTTTTGTGTGCTGTGTTTTGTTTGAATGTGGTGTGTTATTTTGTGTGATGTGTGTTATTTGTGTGTTGTGTCTTATTGTAGTATCACTGCCACTAGGTAAAAATCAATTTTCAGTTAAAATAATTAATAATAATAATAATTTGATGTTATGGAGAATCGCATTTAATTAGACCAGTTAAGACGAATATTCCCTTTAATAATAAATAATTAAGCGTTTACTACGCATTAACTTGTGTATAACCTCTGCAAGGAATAGGTATACATCTACCATGAAAATGGAGATATCCACCCAAACTACACGGTGTCACAACCGACAATCGATGCTATATACTTTCGATACTGAGAGAGTCGTTAAATAACCGATGTAAGAAGCAACAACCCCCAAGCACAGAATCTGTATCCGCTCTTCCCATTCATACAGCTTCTAATTTGTGTCTCCCTTCGTCCCACAGCGGTTCTGTACCTGCAGAGTGAATCTGGAACAGCGTACAAGTAAATAAAGCGAACAAAGTGTCATATCCCCGCCAAAAGTAATGTGAATTTATAACATAAAATGTTAACACCGCTAAAATTCAAATCTCCATTCATGAATGATAACTGCAAAAGAAATGCTATCAATAACCAGCGATTACTTTGTATTTTCTTTTGTCTGTGGCTTTCCTTTTCTTAGATACTCGTCGGTTTTAAGTAATGTTGTATTATACTTGAACATAACAATGAAATACCGCCAATATAAACGGTGAAAAAAAATTACAATATAAGAATATACATAACACTTCAAAATTTCTAATGTAAAACTTAAAGATTAAATTATAATTATCTTACCTTCTATTTTGTATGGGTATGTACTATTTTCTGCCGATTACGTCAGCCGAGTGGTCTAAGGCATGCACTGTCTTCGCTCGCTCGGAAGCCGGGATCGTGGGTTCGAATTCCACTCAGTGCATGGACGTTTGGTGTTTGTGTGTGTGATTTTTCTGTGTTCGTGTACAGGTAGAGGTCTTGCGACGAGCTGATCACCTGTCCAAGGAGTCCTACCGACTGTCTAAGATCTAGTAAACTGAAGTGAAACGGAGAGATTCATGGAGGTAGGCGAAGCCCAAATTGGGGCTGTAGCGCCAAAGGGGGGGGGAACTATTTTCTAGCTTTCAACTGAGCTTAAAACATGCTTATGTCTAAAAGCCCCATATGGTGACAGACGAAATACATATTAACACATACAGCTTGGGATATAAATGTAATTAGATATTAAAAATTGAAACAACCAAACACTACATTCAATTTAAACAGCTAATCTATTCTGGTACTTCCACACTCCCATTTCCTTACAATAGCACATATAGATTCACTTTTTGTGATTCAAATTGGACCTCATACTAAGCTGTGGCAGAGAGCTGAAACATGATAGCCAGTAATTAAATACTATAATCATGTTTCTGTTTATGTCTACAAGCTGTTTTATTTCACCGCTTTGATAGTGGATTACTGGCAGATGATGTGGTCAGTTTTTAACAAAAAAAATTAGATTTGCTATTTACTGGCGGAAGCATCTATTTTGGTCGGAGTTTCTCTATAAACCATACTGAAATTACAAAACTGCTTACTGATGACAATTTTACGAATATCAATATTCTATTGCCAGATAATAAAACACCAGTCATCACATCGCTTTTGAGTTGGAAAACGAGGCAAGGGACTAAAGAACAGAGGAAACTGGCCGAAATTATGCTACACAGAAAAGAGTTTAGTGTACTGCAAAATAGAATAGCAAATATAATATTTTGAATGCGGGAGTAATATTCAGTCTGTGTGCGGAATAATTTTAAGAACAATGTATAAGGAAGCTGGAGGAGATTCTTTATTATGATTTTACGAAATTATGGGCATTCCAGTTTCGGTATGAGGATGCGTGGGCTGAGTTATAACACCAGACGACTGTTAACAGCTACAATAAGCAAGAAAAAAATTTCCTAAGAAAGGTTAAAGGACGCATCTTCTTACAAATGCATCAACAAGAGAAGAAGTGCTCTCCAAGCTAGAACACAAACTTACAGGAATGAATGGACGAAACTTCTGCAACGCGAGGAACAGAAATAGTTTATCAAAATAGTTCTGAGTTGTCCTTACACTTGGGCAGAACAAGGAACAGCTGGTCTTCGCAGTACTATGGATTCCAAACTAGCCAGTGGCCTGTCCAGTGAGCTGGATGATGATGATGATGATGATGATGATATGACGACGGAAATACTGGTACCTTTTTATCTTCGTGTACAACGCTCTTGCTTGCCAACTGTGTGTTTCAGTAGCAAGGCTTGCTGACGTTGCATAGCCATAATGATAGGTTGCTTCACTGGATGCTTAGGAGCAAGAATATATCTATACATCGATGCTGTTAACAAGTTAGAAAATACTTCCTAGAATTTCTTAAGGCAGTTGAACCGAAAGTTTCCTTCTCCATACCAGTGTTGCTGAGCTCGATGAGATGTACGCCTTAACGGGCTATGAATAACTTCAGAACGCAGACATATAATTTAAGTATTACGCTAATCTGATTGAAGTATATAATTATTATCTGAAACTGCTGTTAATTTATATACTCTTAAAGATAAAATCACATAAGATATGAGTCTTTTTGAAAACGTGACTGTATCTAATATTTACATCACTAAAACTTGCACACAATTAAAATATTAATTTAAAAAACGCATAAATTAAAACATATGTGAGATAATTACAAAATGAAGAATGGTAAGTAAATACAAAGTAAAGCTATCCCTGTAACAGGACTTGGAGGCTCATAGCGTTGTGAGACGTCGAGGCGCCCACATTTCGTAAACAATCGACCCACAGATGGCAGTGAGGTTGTCAGCCTTACGCTCCGGCTCCTCTTTACCTCCCCAGGAAGTTTCCTGGTACTCATTTCTGTTAGAGACCGAGTCGATCCCAGGGCGATAGTGCTGCTGGAAGGATTACGTCAATCGAAAAATCCAATGACCTCATATGGAATCGAACCCGTGACCTCCCGTCTCGCAGCATAATGCGTCAAAGAACTAGGTTACCGCGAGCCCCAAGAATGTTAAGTATGAAATACATATACCATTTTACTTACAAAAATCATTAAGAATGTAGGTCTAAAACACAGACGCAAAAGAATACAATAAACTTATTTTCCGGAAATAAAAGTTTAAACTTCCAGATCAGATTTCAAATGTAAGGTAGAATTAATCACCTACAAGCTGAACAGAAAGACAGTGAAGTATGGCTCTAGACGGAAGTGTTGGAACACTTAGAATTACGTGTAATTTCCAAATTTACTTCTACTCTTCCTCTAATTTGATCACGAACCACCAATTCATATAGACATAATTGACATATGTATTATTATAGGTTGCCTTCTAAACTTCCTGTTTGCAATAACCAGGAAAACAGTTTCAATTTCGAACCCTGACATTCAGTATCCTTAATAGAAAACGACTCAATAAAAAACACAACATTTCAGAATGAACTTCATTAGTTAAGTAAAAAAACTGATTGTATACATCTTACCAACTGATAGTCAGGAGTTTAACGGTCCCGAAATTGTTATGGGAACTGCCCAACAGCCTAAGAAATCAAATTCCTTATTTGACAAACGTGCAGTTGTACACACTATCGGATTACGTAACAAATACAGGGTAACAGATACGTTTGAGGTTATGTTAAGAGTTGGCTGTGCCATAGCTCAGGCGGTTAGTCGCTGGCTTTCCACCGCGGCGGCCCAGTTTCGAGCTCAGGTCTGGTCATGTGGTATTTGTGGTGAACAAAGTGGCACTGGTGCAGGATTTCTCCGAGTGCTTCGGTTTCCCCTGGCAATCATCATTCCACCANTCGGCTTACAACTGCTTCTGGAACTCACATAAGACTATATGTAAAAGTGTACTCGTGCCAGCCAGCTAGCCGAACGAGCCAATCCGGCCGGACGCCATGTTATTCTTGTGGGAGCGGCGCGTCAGTGAAATGTGAATGAAAGGCAACCTGATGTCTAAACATTGCACAATCCGAAGCCTGCAAACAGGCTAAGCATAACTTTCTTCAGCTGCTAATTTAAGTAACAGACTCGATGGTGAAAAAAATGTTGGTTAGTCAGGTTGTCAAGAAATTCCCCTCCTACGTATAAACCGGGGGTCCATTAACGTCATTATAAATCCCGCCACTGCAACTATCCTAAGCCATTTTATCCAAATAAGACTTTAACATTCTCTTTATTTATGATCCATTTTAATATCATACTTCCATTTTTGCTTACATTTCCCAAGATATTCCGCCCTTTAAATTTACCTGCCAAAATTATGCATGAAATTCTAATCTTCTTCATGTGTGCTAAATGATTTCTGAGGCAAATTCTTTGTTTAATTGTGCTGTTAATATTTGGTGGAGAGCATAAAGTATGAATCTCTTGCAGTTATTTCCACCTGTCAGTGGCTATTGGATATAAAAGTTAGGCATTCCAAGTTGAAATTAATCAGATATGGCTAATATAATTATTGCTCATAATTATATGTAGATTTTTCAAGTATTTACATTAGAATTAATAGCTAAATCACTGTTTAATGAAATAATACAAAGTATGGAATGTTGAAGCCCTTGTAACAATAGACACAAAGATATGAGCAGGCGGAGTTCCGAATGGAAGGACTGTCAGACACAGTGTGACCACAGGATATCCAAAGTTCCGAGCTAACTCACCTGTGCTCTCTGTACCATGTACGTCGGGACAGGCTTGGTAACGGAGCAACAGACGCGATTGGTCCGTGCAGGAGTCCACCTTGGACACAGGACTACTACACTCTCCGGAGCCTCTGTTGTATGTGAAGGTAAAGGGCGGACCGCCCGTGAACGGACATTCCGTAGGCCCAGCGTCGGACCGGAACATGGAATAGAGGGTGGCATCGCCAGTGATCTCCGCGCACAACTTGCCCAGGCTGTCCTTCGGCACGCAGTACGCTGGAACAAGCGAACGTGAGCATTTAGCTGTCAATCTCAAAACTTCTCCTAAACTATACTGAAGTTAACTGTTTTATTTTCGCAGGAAATGTAGTGCACTTTATAGACCTACGAAGCAGTTTATTAAAAAAAATCCTAATTTTCAATTGTACTTTTCAATCCATTTGCGTTAAATACCACAAAGTTTTCCTTGAATTATTACATTATGTTAAATAACAGTCTTGAACCTAACACTGTTTATAAGCTTATTTATTTTTTACCCAGAATACTGTTATACAAGTTCTTTGAGCAATAGTCATTTTTAGTCAATTTTAGAGCGTAATATATTCTCAGATTTGTATTAAAACAGGAAAAAAAAAATAATTTTCGATTTTATAAACACCTGACTTGGCATATAAACCATTATTAATTAGAGGCCTTGCAAATTTTTCCATTCGTATAAATTCTATAAATTTACGAGTATTTCTAAAGTGTTCAGAGAAATATTTTACCCCAAGAATTATGAAGAAAGTGAGCAATTTCGGCTACTGCATTAAGAATTATTTCGTGATTTATATTGTATAAATGGCTTAATAGTGTCGGTATATCTTAATCAGAGAACTTACAATACACTGAAGAAAGCAGTCGGTGTCCTCGTTTCGGAGGAACGTCGGTTAACACCTCATATACACGGTGCCAAATCCCAGAAAACTGCTTTCTTCATAGGCGGAACAAGTCCTCCGGGAGGGACTTTAAGCCGTGGGTCCCGTGTCGTAGCTTTACGGCACGTAAAAGAACCTCATATCTCCAAAGGAGGTTACTGAGCCAAATTAATGGACGTTTCCCGCCCAACAGCAGTCTCTGATACCTCTGGTAGATGGGGGAAGCATTATAGATACCTCTCAGCTAGTAGAGCCGGTCTCGCTGGCTGGGCGGGACTGATGGTAAGCACCAGTACCGGTAGGATATAGACACTGGTAGAAATCATAGAGGGAAGCACAATGGACCAATACATGTCTCCGTGCATGGGGAAACCCACCCTCTCCAATAACTAACTAACTCACAATAAATAATCGGTCATTACACCAGCCAGTCTACTGTGTAAGCAAAATGAAGTGGAAAAAGTTTTGCTTCGAAATTTATTATTTATAAAACTTTAAAAATAATCCATTCGGAGAAGCCATGAAAAAAAAATAAGGCAGAAAATAATCTCACATCAGCTAACATTATTACACTTTCCGTAATGCTACGTGAAAAGCAAAGCAGAAAATATGATAATGCAATACGTACAGTCTGTGCAAGAGATTCCGAAATGCAGCGCAAGTAACTCTGTTCGTGAGATATGTGAACAGCGCATGCTATACGAAATCTCATTAACTTTGCAGATTATGAGATGCGTGACCATGCGTTACTTTATTGCATCATGGCTGCGTGGGGAATATTTTCGGTAAGAATCTGTTCGTTAGATCGCACAAAACACTAACGTATTTCCGATTTCCTTTTTAAATTTCAGTGGCTCTCTAATCAGTTTTCTTGCAGTCGTGTAAATCCGGGCTGAGATTAGTTCATATTCGTTTAAAAATGAAGTAGTAACCGCGTTGTTTGAAATACTCGATCACTGGGATCACGGGTTCGAATCAGGTTCTTGTATGTATTCCTCATTTTTCTGTATTATCCCGTGTAAGTAGAGGTTTTGTGATAGGCCATCAGATTAACTAGAGACGTCTACACTCACTCATGTAGCTGAGCCCTTCTTGAGAAACCACTAATTGTGCAGCTACTCAAGAACTTCCCGGCATTTTATGGAACCTGAAGTTTTATTACCGTGTTCACAAGAGCCCCCACTGGCCCCTACCCTGAGCCAGATCAGTCCAATCCATACCATACCATACTATCTCTTTAAGATCAATTTTGATGTTGTTCATCCGCCTACTACTTGGTCTTCCCAATAGTCTTCTTCCTTCCGGCTTTCCCACCAATATCCTATATGCATTCCTCATCTCCCCATTCGTGCTACATGCCCTGCCCAATTCATCCTCCTTGACTTGATCATTCTAATTATATTTGGAGAAGAGTACAAATTATAAAGCTCCTCTAGAAACATCTACACCTCCAACTGAAGAGCTGTAGAAATTGACAGAAGTAATAAGGAGGGTAAGTTATATATCGAGTGGAACTGCTTTAGTGTACAACAGATACGGTAGGACACAGCAGACTTGGGAGAACTAGAAAAACAAGAACATTGAGCCTTTCAATTAGCTTTCTCCATCTTCCCAAGGAATAAAAGAAGTCATAAGAAACTAAGCCACAATCGACCGTCTGGGTAAAGGAATGCGAATACCGAATTTCGCATATGTTGTTGTCTCGAAATTTGATAAAGCAAGGTAGGAGAAGGTTTTGATACTTTTTCCTTAGTTCGGTTTGGATTTTTATTCTGTAGGAAAACTAAAATCTAAATAAAAAATATTAAGTTTATTTTAATATTCAGCAACGATAAAATTTTACTCAAAATCGTCCTCCCATAAGCTTAATATCTAACCTCAAAATAACACTCAATATGCTGTTATCCGGCTATACGTTATCTAGTGAGATATTTAAAATTGACAATGGTTGTTACGAAATAAAATACACAGACAAGTCATAAAAGAGGAAATATAAAGGATGAAATATAAGCATACAGTTACAACAAAACGTATTTTATTACTTACGACTTCTTTTCGTTTTATTCTTTTCCGAGAAGCTAATATGTTTACCATTACTCGTTTGCCTGGTAGATTTTAATAACATAAAGGACTTTCTTAGCTCGGTATATCTTTTGTATATTTTGTGTATCTTCTTCAAGTCCATTTTATGCATATCCTTTATTCACTTCATCCGGAGTCTTTCTGTTGCGATTGTTGGTTTAAGAGGACGTACATGCCCAAGAAAACATTAAAAGAACCAAAAGCGGTTCTAATACTGAACCTGGACCTTAATTTATCTTTCGAAGTAGGTCCTACTAAATCCGTTGAAATATATTGTGATTCAGGTCATGGAAACCAGTGAAATTTGTGCTTATATTTCAAAAGGAAAATATTGTTCTTCCTGCAAAATAATTTCAAAACTTTGTTTGCATCAACATTAAACTAAACAGCACATGATTTAAAATTTCTTAAAAGTTTCCAGGTTGCAAACTATTATAACAACTTCAGCACGTAAGGTGAAGCGCGTAGGGAGACAAAGCATATACACGTACGCTGGATTTGAGGTTATCACAGTGGTATGAATAGGGCGGTCTTCTGGATTATAGTTCAGACAGAGCAGTGACCAGCAAAATCGGGCGGCAAGCTGAGTTTGATTTATTATTCGACCCTGAAAATGGAGGCGACATTTCTCTGAACTCCGTGCTCTCTGGACTAAAACAGTCAACACTTCAAAACCCAAATGCACCGTATGTCTCCGTACACTTTGCCTCGATGGTAGAATCAGTAAAGATATTAGGGATACTGGTGTTCACCCAGAATGCATCATAGCAGCATCCGCTTTAGCATTGCACGTCGCAAAGATAGAAGGTGTCCTCTCGAAGCATTATCTGTGGTTCTGCTAACGCTTTATTACGAGGAGGCAGTGCCTGCCGTTATTCCTTTGCCTCTTGCTCAGCGTAGCACTGGGAGCGACAGCTACATGCAACGGTGTTCTCAGCGAGGTTCGAAATAAGCATTTAAAGCTGGTAGGCAGTTCAGACTCCTGAGGGAGTAGCCCGTGTGGAGGAGGGTTCGATAGCTCCATCGTAGCCCTGCGAGTCGTATGTGGTGACGAAAATGGAATCCAGTGCCTGGGGGTAAAACTGGGTCACTCTGTTCCTGGGGGATATAAATACGGAGACCTGCTGGCCCTCCAGGTTGGGAGAGTCTCGAACCTGGGGCATTAAAATGTGGTCATGAGTCCCGCGGGACTCCAACCCGAGAATGACTGCATTGACGAGTACCAGCAGTAATTGCAAACAGACCCGCATTGTCGTCATAGAGGGAGCCCCATATCTGCAAGCCCTCACGTGTCTGACACTAACACAAATCCGGTCTTGGGCCCCAGAAAGGGCTTGGCAACAAGACAGGCTGGTCGACTGTTCTTCGGTCGTAACATAACTTCGACTTTAAGCCCCTAGCAGCAAGTACCAAGTCAGTCATTTCAGATTCCTAATGCAAGCAGTCCATCTCTGAACATGTTCGGAAAGATATTTCAGCAGATCATGGCAGAGCACAATGGGGTAGAGTGAGAGGAACAGAGAATAGTGGCTATCACAAAAATTGTATTAAAACTCATGAAAAAATGGCCGCTAGATCTCATATGCCCCTCAAAAGCGTATGAGTTAGTGCGAATGGCATTGCGAGTCAGCGCTTTGAGCTGGGCAAGCAGCTCTAATAGCTACACATATAGACGTGGCACTGCTCTCAGACACACATCTGAAACCTCATTAAAGACGTTTTGTTCCAAATTATCACATTTATTGGCCTGACGGCTTCCCGGGCAGAAAGGTTGCATTGTCGTTGCACTTAGAAAAGGCGTTCCCCACGACCATGTAGCCCTGCCACCCCTTGTTTCAGTAGAAGCCACAGAGTCTGCATACCGCTAGATAACGGAGAAATATTAGTTACAACTGTATGTAAATCTTAAGGGCTACCTGGATCAATGGAAACATCATGGAGCTCTTAAGCTTTAGGAATAAGTCGATATTGACAGGTGATATGAAAGCTAAACATCCATTTTGGACGTAGATTTTCAAACCAATGAGGCGAGACACTTTTGAACTTATCTGATATAAATGAATTCGAAATGTCAATGCCACAAAGTGCCACTCTTTACTCTCCTGCGGGAAGTGGTGACGTACTCGACACGGCTCCACCGAAATATCAGTCTGTCAGGTGTGATTGTTTCAGGTATCCCGGGTTCAGTTCACCTACCAATATCCCACGTTCTGGATCATGTTAAAACTAAGAACCTTTCAAAATTAATTGCAAACTCTGAGACTAGGAAAGGTTTCG